TAAATGCTAGACTTAACTCACACTGTTATCCTCCAATGATACTTCTCATGATCCATCATGATACACATAAGCCAACATGTGTACATAAGAAGGAGGGACTTTGGATTATAACTTTCAAACCCTTGTCACTGTTCTTTAGCTTGTTCTTGCTTTTCAGTGGTTTTCTTGCAGTTCTTTCATGGCCGATCCCAGACCATATGACAACATGGTATGTGACTTCCCTCCACATATCTCCTGCCCACACTAACATACCTTTCTACATGGCATTCATCCTCACTGGTTTCCCTTCAGCCCCAGAGGAAAGGGCCAAGGCCTGGCTATTCATCTAATCTCCCCTTTAAAACCTTCCCTTCAGGCCGGGTATGGTGGCTCATGCCTGCAATCCCAGCACTTTGGGAGGCCAAGGTGGGTGGCTCACTTGAGGTCAGGAGTTTTGAGACCAGCCTGGCCAACATGGTGAAACCACATCTCTACTAAAAATACAAAAAAAAAATAGCTGAGCATGGCGGCACATGCCTGTAATCTCAGCTACTTGGGAGGCTGAGGCAAGAGAATGCTTGAACTTGGGAGGTGGAGGTTGCAGTGAGCCGAGATCGCGCCAGTGCACTCCAGACAGAGCGAGACTCCATCTCAAAACAAAACAAATCTTCCCTTCTCCTCAGATACTTGGCTCCATTTCCTTTGGCTTCAGTGTATCCTTTTTTTTTTTTTTTTTTTTTTTTGAGATGGAGTTTTGCTCTGTTGCCCAGGCTGGAGTGCGATGGCCTGATCTCAGCTGACTTCAAGCTCCGCCTCCCAGCTTCACGCCATTCTCCTGCCTCAGCCCGGCTAATTTTTTGTATTTTTAGTAGAGACGGGGTTTCACTGTGCTAGCTAGGATGGTCTTGATCTCCTGACCTCATGATCCACACGCCTTGGCCTCCCAAAGTGCTGGGATTATAGGCGTGAGCCACCACGCCCAGCCTAGTGTATCTTTATCTTCCTCTCTACTAACTGGTTTACTGCCCTTGGCCTATGAACATGCTCAAAACTCTCCCATCTGAAAAACAAAATATAAAATACTACACCCTCTAGCTACCATACCTTCTCCATCTCTCCCTGAAACAGTGTCAACATTCTTTATGTGCCCTTTACTCACTTTCCATTCAGGTCTCACCTCCAAGTAATCTGATTTCTGAAACTAACTCCTCTCTGAGATTATCAAACATCTTCTCATTCTTAATTCTAAAGGGTATCCTTTAATCTTTAGCTTATCATGATGTCGCAAATCTTTATCAGTCTTCAAACTCTTTCTTGCCTTTCTATGAGTCATGTGCATTTAGTTATCCCATCTTGCTAACGATTTCTCCTTAATGCTTTTGAGTGTCCTCATGCCACTTAAATGCTGGCATTCCTCGGAATTTGGCCTTCTTTATTTTCTCATTCCCTCTCTCTGTTCCTTAAGTTTTAAGTATCAATTTAACATTAATGTCCCCAAATCTATATTCTAGAACATTTAACTTATTGCCCACTATAAAAATCCAAATGAAAACCTACCTCTTATTAATATAATTGGCATTTCTTTCATGTGCATGATATGCCAGATACTGCAGAAAACTGCAGTAAGGACATAGCTCCTGACCTCTTCAACTACAATCTTTTCAAACTCTGCCCAACCTACTCTTCCTCCTAATAGTCTCCATCTCAGCTGAGAACATCAATCCACTCAGCATTCAAACCAGAAACCCTGGAGCTATACAATGTTATCTCTTTTAATTTTCATATTTAACACATTCTCCAAATCCTGTCTTTTCTATGTTCTGAATACTCCTTATCTATCTTACTACTTCCAAAACAATGTTAGTCTTCATCACCTATGGCTTTAATTTGCAATAACCCCTTAACTGGATATTGAGCTTCCTGTCTTTTCCACTGCCATCCAGTTACCACAATAGGCCCTCATTTTACCTTCCTATTTATAATCCTTCAAGTATCCTTTATCCCTCAGACTGGCCTAGAGACTAAGGTCCTAGCTCCTTACCATGGAATATGAAGTCCTTAATAATCTGAGACTTACCAACCTCTCTCCAGCCAACCACTCCTTCTCTCTCTTCTGAGTCCTTATGTTTCTTTTTTTCTTTTTTTTTTTTTTTTTTGAGACAGTTTTGCTCTGTTGCCCAGGCTGGAGTGCAGTGGCATGATCTCGGCTCACTGCAACTTCTGCCTCCCGGGTTCATTCTCCTGCTTGTCTCCCGAGTAGCTGGGATTATAGGCATATGCCAACACACCCAGCTAATTTTTTGTATTTCTAGTAGAGATGGGGTTTCACCATGTTGGCCAACCTGGTCTCAAATTCCTGACCTCAAGTGATCTGCCCGCCTAGGCCTCCCAAAGTGCTGGGATGACAGGCATGAGCCACTGCACCTGGCTGCTAGTCCTTAAACTTTTTGCTTGGTAATTTCAAACTACATATCCTGCTTTTTATGCCTCTGTTCCCTTTTACAGGCTGTTGCCTCTGTTTTGAATACTCTTGTTCACCTTGACTTCTAGTGGATCAACTGTCCCCTAATCAGAGAATTGTTCTCTGATCCATTTGAACTCCACATCGTCCCCTACCAAACAGAATATATAGCTTTATCCTCTAGATAATCTCTGCATCTTCAGGATATATCAATTATTGCAGTTATTATAACGGATTTTCATGATGTGTTTACATTTATGTCTCTCCTAATAAACTAAGTCTTGAGGACAAGGTCTATAACTTATGCACTTTGAACCTGCTGCTAATACTTAGACTAGTGCCTGGCAGATAAATGTTAACTGCAGTAGAGACTTAGGTACACATCTGACTCTCCAAGTAGACCATTAAAGGTCATGTCATGATTGTATGTATCCTCACCTCAATAACTAGTAAGAAGTACTCAATACAGTTTTGTGGAATTAAAGTGTTTGCTTAAATCCTTACATAAAAAAAATTTCTTAAATACATACTTATCAGAGCTTATAATTTATACTGTTGACACAGTATCATTGCCCAATATAATGCTGACACTTTACCATTGATACAGTAATTACAATAGTAAGTACCTCACAAATGCCAAGTGACCAAACAAATATATCCTTCTACTTCAAAATAAGGTGCAATTACACATTTTGCTATAGGTCCAGAAACACCTGCTGATTGAAGCAATAGTCAAATGTTATGACTGGTTCTTCACTAAAGGGTTTGATTTTTGTATTTGACTCACATTTCATCCAGTATCAAACATTTTTTCTTGTTGAGGAATGCAAGGTTAAATAATCAATTTCAAATATGCTTTATCACTCACATGAAGCAAAAGGCATTATTATCTCCATGTTATATATAAGAAAACCAAAGATGAGAAAGATGTGATTAGATGGAAGTGCTCCATACATATACCCAGTCTTAACTTACCTTCATTGGCAGAATACTTCACCAGTAAGATGCGACTTGAGCTTAAAGCAATGAATACGGCACCTAGCAGGAACGTATACATTGTCGACACGGAGCATATTATAGGATGACTACAGCACTGTTTTTCCATTCCACTGTTTTTTAATTGCCTTAAAGAGAAAAACACTTTCTTGAACAACCTTGTTGGCAGACCCTAAACGCAAATACCATCGATGGTGAGAACAGAAAAGGAATTTTTAAAAAATGTTTGGCTATGACTATATCAACACCAAGAAAGCTGAGGCGTACAGAAGAAACTATGAGAAAAGGAAAGTGAAAATCTGATAAGAGGAGTACTCTAGAGACAGAAAAGGTAGAACCAGATTAGACGTGCTGACAAAGATAGCAGACGAGCAAATGACACTTTGCAACAGCAGAAAAGAATTCTTCAAAGCAATTTTAGCTTTTATTTTTAAATTTTATTTATGTATTTTGAGACAAAGTCTCGCTCTGTCCCCAAGGCTAGATAGACTGCAACGGCACGGTCGTGGCTCACTGCAACCTCCACCTACAGGGACTCAAGGCGATTCTCCTGCGTCAGCCTCCAGAGTAGCTGGGACTACAGGCGCCCGCCACCACGCCCGGCTCATTTTTGTCTTTTTAGTAGAGACGGGGTTTCACTGTGTTGGCCAGGCTGGTCTCGAACTCCTGCCCTCGTGATCCGCCCGCCTCTGCCTCCCAAAGTGCTGGATTACAGGCGTGAGCCACCGCGCCCGGCCTAGCTTTTACTTTTATTAGTAAATAGTTTTGCTGTAAGACGAGACTTTCAGAATTGTATTTTCCTCCTCTTTTCCCTCTAAGGAAAAAGCTTATTAGGACAGACTTCATTACAATAACGACCAAAATGGAAATATCTGAAACACTGCTGTAAAGTTTTACTGAACTAGTGTTTGAAATGGAGGAGATCGTAGGAATCAATGAGTCTAAGGCCCTCTTTTAATAGGTTGAGGACACTAAACCCCAGGTTGGGTAAGTAACTTGCCCAAAGCCTCCCAGCGTACCGTAGGAAAAGCGCACAGAGCCTGCGGGGAGGGGGGACAAATGCCAATACTGACAGCCCAAGTGGGCGCACGCGTACAGGAGACCAATAAGACGCCTCCCCAACAGGAGGCAGCCAGGTTTCCCTTCACAGTCAGGGAATACCCCTCTAGTCACACATGCGCAGTAGGGCTCTTGTCTGGCTCACCCTCCCCTCGGACGCACGCGCAATTCCTTGCCCGCGGGGCGCGGTTACCTCCCTCAGAAGAGCTTTCAGTGGAAGAACGCACATCCTAGAGTTGAGACAGTAACTGCCCGGCCCCGTAGTAGCAGCAGTAGCCTTTCGGGTCCATACGTGGAGAAGCTATAGTAGATATAGGCGAAAGAGCCTCTGCCTCTAAGCTGCCAATTGCGGAACAAAAACACAATTACGTCGGGACTGGGAAAAAGCGCACCCAACACCCATTGCGCAGCCGCGTTCAGTGTTAGGCTTCCGGAAGGAGGTGAGAAGCCGCTTATCCCGCCCCAACCCGGCCTTTCTCACGTCACGTGCCGGGAGAGTCAGTGTCACGTGAGGCCCAGGTGGCGGCGCAGCTACGGCAAGAGAGTGAGAAGGAAGGGGAAGCCGGAAGGGGCGCGAGTGAAGCAAAGCGAGGAAAGGCAGCTTCCGAGAGGGCGAGGGGTGCGCGTGCGGCCGCTTATCGCCTCAGGTCTCCTCTCGGCTTGGCTGCCCTCCCTCGCGGCTGGGTGACAGCTGGGCCCGGTCCGTCGCGGGCTGCCTGGGGCTCAAGGATCGAGCACCCTGTCTTCGCGCGTGGTGCCTGCCGCCCCGCCCCCTCGTCCCGCCCGTCCCGTCGCGTCGCGTCCCGTCCCCTCGGGTGCTGCCAGCCGGGTGCTGATGTGAGTCGGTGGCAGCGAGGACATTTTCTGACTCCCCGGCCCCTGACCCGGCTGCACTTTCCATCCCGTCGCGGGGCCGGCCGCTACTCCGGCCCCAGGATGCAGAATGTAATTAATACGGTGAAGGGAAAGGCGCTGGAAGTGGCTGAGTACCTGACCCCGGTCCTCAAGGTAAGCCAGGCCGGGCTTGCCAGGGGCTGTCTGGCACTTGCTCGACTCTTCAGGGACCGGTCGCCGCAGGAGTCCCCGCCGGTGTAGGAAGGTGTAGGAAGGCGGTAGGGCTCGGGACCCAGGGAAACGTGCAGCCCTCATCCGTAGTCTTAACTGGCTGTTCGTTAGGGCTTTCTGACCCCTCAGGGGTAAACTTGGAGGGACGCTCTGTGCGTGTTCCTGCCTTCGCCCGTCATAACTCTGCGCGGTCGGGTACGTCGAGTTGGAAGGGTGTTTGGCGGCCGAGTAGATTGAAGATCGTTAAATCCAAAGACTGGAAGTCTTTTAGCCTTTTTAAACAAGGATTTTGCTTCTCTTTTTAAAAAATGAATTCAGTGTTTGACATATGTCACTTTTCCTTTAAGTTTCATAGAAAGTTCGCTGTAGTGGGTAAGTTGTGACTGGGGTCTCAACTCGTTTAGATTTCAGAGGAACGAGGTGAAATTGGCAACATTATCTAATTCAGTAACCTTGAACCCATCTAACGAGCAAAACCTTTTTCCCAAGGTTTTCACATAGCCGTAACTGATTGTTAGTGATAACAAGGCATGGTTTGATCTTCCTGGCTGTGTAATTTTTTAAAATATGTTGGCAGCAGTACAGCATTTTTAAAGTAAAAAATTGTGACACATTAGCTGTTACAGTAGTGACTGATTTTTTTTTTTTTAATTTTCAAAAGTAAATTTCTACAACTGCCTTCAAGCTTTGCTTTTGTAACTCTTTTGGAGTTAAGTGTTTTGTTGTAACTTCATTTTTGCTTTCTGAAAAGTGAGCAATAATAGTAAATTAATGAGAAGTTCTTGCTTAGTTTTTGTTTTTTTTTTTAGTTGTTTTTAAGCTTTCAGTTAGAATGTACCAATCTCAATGTGGGGGTGAAATACCCTAATATGCTAAGAATAGTGGAGAGTTTTGCTTTTCTCCCTTTCCATGACAAAGGAAAATATTTGGTCTGTACTTTTTTAAATACGTTTTTGTAAAACTCCTTTTAAAAGAATAACTTATTGGCCAAGTAAGAAATAAACCAGCGATTATAAATGAGAATTTCAACCGTTGCTTTGCTTACATTTGTTTACCGTGAAAGTCATTTTAAGATTATTCAGTCAAACTAAGATTGGAAAATAATTTTCACATTTGAATCAAATGCTTTTACATATTATGGTAACTTTTCAGAATATCATATCTACCTAGGTATGCAGTATTTTAATAATACACCATTGTTACAACTTTTTAGTTTCAGGGAGAGAGGAGCAAGAGACTGCCTAAATTAAATATAAAGTTTATGATGTAGAATTAGTTTTCAGGAGTCATCTTACTTGCTCACCAAACTGAAAAGGAGCTGTTAGCATGTCAGTATGTATGATCTATGTTTTTAGTAAAAAGGAGAGAATTAATGACTGTCTCCTTGATACTCCTGTGCAAACTGTTGGTTTACAGAGAGAATCCTTAGTTTCCTGCTAGATAAGGGAGGGCAAGGAGAAAAAACAAAGTCCTCAGGAAATAAGTAATAGTCTTTTCCTAGCAAGTAAAAATCAAGAAGAATCATGTTTTGTTTGGAGTTTGTGCGTGCAGTAAACACTGAAGTTCTTACAGTCATCGCTAAGGTTCTGCTTAATTGGTAGAGGCCCCAGTCTCATCTACTCCATCCCCTGACTGCTCTTGGTTAAGCTAACCTGATCTCCTCTTTATTGTTCCGTTAAGCACGCTCTTGGTTCGGGGTTTTGCATGTGCTCTTCCCTCTATCTGAAACGCGCTTCTCACTTACAGCCTTATGGCATGTTCCTTTCCTTGAGGTTTTCAAGTCATTATTCAGTGAAGTCTTTGTTCTCTTACATTTTATTTTAAATGGCCATCTCTCCCCAGCCACCCCACAGATTCCTCTCAGCTTCGTTTTTCTTTATGGCATGTTATTCATTACCATTTGGCTTTTCTTCCTCAACTGGAGTTGAAACTCCTTATGAGGGCAAGAATACATTTGTATTTGTTATTCACACCTACATATTGCCACTGCCTCAAATAGTGTCCGGTACATAGTAAACATTTGTTGAATGAATAATGTTTATAAATGAGTGTTTTCATTTTTGTAGACTCTACCAGAAAATCTTACGTATAACTTAAAGTTTAGAAAAATTTAGTCAATAGCATTCTTGCTTTAGAGGAGAGAATAGTGTGTCAATATCTTGGTGGAGATGAGAATTAGGGGAAGATTCTAAATGATTTCTAGATTTGGTTTCTAACATTATTCAGTGTAAATAAGACTGGCTGAATTGTAAGATGTCTAAACATCTTTAAGACATTTTTGCTGTGCTTTAAAATAAAGATATTTATTCATTTCACAGAATCTCTGTAAGGCTTTATTTTTATTTAAATCTTAGAATGTTTATACATAGATCTTGGCTGGGCGCGGTGGCTCACGCCTGTAATCCCAGCACTTTGGGAGGCCGAGGCGGGCGGATCACGTTAGGTCGGGAGTTCGAGACCAGCCTGACCAACATGGAGAAACCCCGTCTCTACTAAAACACAAAAATTAGCCAGGCGTGGTCGCGCATGCCTGTGATCCCAGCTACTCGGGATGCTGAGGCAGGAGACTCGCTTGAACCCGGGAGGTGGAGGTTACCATGAGCCAAGATAGCGCCATGGCACTCTAGCCTGGGCAACAAGAGCGAAACTCCGTCTTAAAAAAAAAAAAAAAAAAAAAAAAGGAATGTTTCTACATAGAGCTTTATTATAGCTCTGATCCGATAGTATTATAATTATTTTCATGTCTGTTTCCTACATTAGACTTGTATATTCCTGTGGTCATTACCAGTGAGTGAAACAAATAGATAGATATAGATAGATACCAGTGAGGGAGGTAGGTAGGTAGATAGATTAGATAGATAGATTATAGATTACATAGATTGATATATTTTTTTTTTTTTTTGCATGTGCTCCATTGCCTGGAAGGGCACCAGGCAAATAATTGCCCCAAAAATATATTTAATTGATAGTGAAACATAATGTTTTTCTTTGCTTTTTTTTTTTTTTTAGGAATCAAAGTTTAAGGAAACAGGTGTAATTACCCCAGAAGAGGTGAGTGCTGAAGATAATACTGAAGCCCTTTTATTTTACAATTATATTAAACTAGGTGGCTTTTCTGCTTCATAAGAAAATATCTTGAACTTTAATTTTGATTTGAGTAAAATTAGGTTTTATGACTGTTTGTGATTTATGGGAATTTCTACTTCCCATACAGGAAAAGATGTAACTTCCCTGTCAGTTTGCCACTTCTCGTATTTCTCTGTAGTTCCTTTTTATTTAGAAATGAGGGTGAAAGAAGGGATCGAAACGAGTCCTATATCACTTATCCTTCATTTGTATTGCTGTTATATTGAGCTGTGCAGTAAGTTCTGTAGTGTTTGTGGTGTCTTGGTTCTGTCTACATCAAATGTGAGTTTTCATGCTTTTCACTGGAAAACTTTGCTCAGTACTTAGATATTGTTTATCTTAAGAGTTCTTTTTTGTTTAGTTTATTTTGTTGTCCCTGGAGAAATAAATACTGGGCTAAAAACCTTTTCAGGCTCCAATTTTATGAATAGTTATGGTTTTATCAGATTTATGTTACTCTTAATAAAAGACTGTTTAAGCTTTTTATTTTATTTTATTTTATTTTTACTGTCAATGAAAACACCACTTATTGGCAATAGAACTTTATTCACTGTTTTGAAACAAACTTTTTAAACCTCATTGTATGATGAGGCTGCTGCTGTTAAGGTCCAGGGTGTCGAGCTAGAGAATTAACTGATCTTTCAGTTTTCAGTTGTAATGGAATCTGTCCAAATCCTTGTGAGTTTTAAGAATGGTTTGGCCAGGCGCAGTGGCTCACTTCTGTAATCCTAGCACTTTGGGAGGCCGAGGCAGGCGGGTCACGAGGTCAGGAGATCCAGACGATCCTGACTAACGCTGTGAAACCCTGTCTACTAAAAATACAAAAAAATGAACTGGGCGTGGTGGCGGGCACCTGTAGTCCCAGCTACTCGGGAGGCTGAGGCAGGAGAATGGCTTGAACCTGGGAGGCGGAGCTTGCAGTGAGCCGAGATCGCGCCACTGCAGTCCAGCCTGGGCGACAGAGCAAGCCTCCGTCTCAGAAAAAAAAAAAAAAAAAAAAAAAAGAATGGTTTGCCTAACTGATCTTTTATCTCAAATTGTCTTTTATTTTAGGTGAAGACACATGGTAGTATGGAAAGAATCTAGGAGACCTGCCTTCTAGACCTATATCTGTAATTTCTCCTAGTGAGGAAATCAGTTATGCTATACCTGCCGAGGCTTCGTGTTTCTTCATCTATAAAATAACGGTTGTGGGCTAGACCTTCTGTAAAGATCCTATTCTGCCTTAGGTTTTATACCTCAAATGCCAAATAAAACTAAGTTTTGATTTTAAGGATATCATTAACATTCTTGCCAAGCAGGTGTAATTTGACCGCGGCTCTTTATCTGAAATCAAGAGCGGAGATGAAAGTATGCTGTTCTTGCTCTCTTTGGTTTTATTTCCTCTGTGAAGATGACTAATTGTTGAATAGATAGTTGCAGTTAGAGATGCAAGTCCGTGGTCATTGGATAGAATTAAGCAGTTTCAAAACAGGAATTCATCCTAGAATAAATAACTGTTACACTTAATTACAACATCAATCAATTTATGAACTTTCCTCCCTCTAAAAAAAATCCAAGGCCAAATTAGCCCAGCTGGGTGCCCAGCACATAATGCAATGTTGGGATAGAGCACAGTTACAGGATTGAGCTAGAGTAGAATGAGTCTGGAGAAGGAAATGGGAAGGCATCATTTGCTTTGTGTAAATATTATATACTGAGTTGATTTGTTCATTTGTTTCCTTTTACTGTTTCTGGGTTTCTGCCAGACATCAGCTGTCTTTTTATTTTCATTCAGAGGTGTGACAGTATTGTGCTTAAAAAGAGGAGCAGCTAGTATCTGATATTGTATTGTCAAAAAAAAAAAAAGGAAACACTAATGTTGGATGTGTATGATTTGATTAAGTAGAATACTATTAATTGAGGTTAGCTTGAGGAGTGGAATTGCTCACCAAGATGTAAACATTGATTCTTGTTGGAGTTAGTATTATATACTGATAATAAAGATCACAAGAGAACATTTTTAGTCTCTAAGAGAAAGCTACTGCAAGCAATATTGATCATTTAGAAATTTGAATCTTATAGTATTTGAACACATGAAGCAAGTAATGGTGGCCATTGCTAATGAGGGCAGATGTACACGTGTTTATTATCAGTGCAAGTGTGGTTTTTTGTTGTTGTTGTTGTTGTTGTTTTTTCATTTTTCTTGCCTTCTAGTGTTCTTGTTTTTAAATAGAAGCTGCTATAGGGACTATGAGACAAAATATTTGTCTTGTTACCTCAAGGCAATACAATGAAAAAATTTTTAATTATTTATTTTGCTTTCATTTTGTTAAATTACTACTTTTAATGGTAATAAATTAGTTCCTGATAACCACAGAGCTAAAAGTAGCATCTGGTTGCAATGACCTCAAAGTGCTCAAAACTTGGGGAAGAGACTATTGTTTTTATTTTGGTTTTTGTCTTTACTTAAGCTGTTTACTTAAGCTGTTTAAATAATAAGGTTATTTGAAGTAAAAGAACAGAAACAAAGTCAGGAATCCAGTTGCTGTATCTTGTTAATGTTTCATCTTAAAAGAGGTTACTCTTAGAATTATTTGATAGAATTGTATGCTCAAAATAGAGTATTTTATATAGACATACTTTCTCAGAAAAGTATTAGAGATTAAATATTTTGTAATTTTTTGCTGTATAATAAACCCATGAACGATACAAGATTTTAAGCTAGAGCTTTTGCAAAATAGAAGTAATTTGGCAAGTATACGCGTGTCACGCGCATCCGTGTGAAGAGACCACCAAACAGGCTTTGTGTGAGCAACAAGGCTGTTTGTTTCATGTGGGTGCAGGTGGGCTGAGTCCGAAAAGAGAGCAAAGGGTGCTGGGATTATCAAGAGTTCTTATAGATTTTTGGGATAGGCTGTGGAGTTAGGAGCAATGTTTTTTTTGCCGGCTAGGGGTGGATCTCACAAAGTACTTTCTCAAGGGTGGGGAGAATTACAAAGAACCTTCTTAAGGGTGGGGAAGATTACAAAGAAGCTTCTTAAGGGTGGGGGAGATTACAAAGTACATTGATCAGTTAGGGTGGGGAAGAAACAAATCACAATGGTGGAATGTCATCAGTTAAGGCTATTTTCACTTCTTTTGTGGATCTTCAGTTGCTTCAGGCCATCTGGATGTACACATTCTTGTCACAGGGGATATGATGGCTTAGCTTGGGCTCCGAGGCCTGATAGTGCGCATTCTGCTTGAGTTGGAACACTGCAGTTATGCAGTTATGCTTATGAGCAGGATTTCTGTTAGCCAGTAAGATCAGCTCATGTTCGAGTAAACTGATAATTCTCAAATGGTTAAAGTTTATCTCCCTGAATCTGGTTTTTATTTCTGAAGAAAAACAAAAACTTGTACAATATTTCAGCCCGCTTAGAAAGCCTAAGATTTGTTAGAGGATTCAATTTGTTAATTTTGTAGGTGTTTTCAGAGTGAGACCAAAAAGCTTCTAATTTTTTCCCATTGTTTTGGCACTGCATTTCTCTTTTAGGAGTGCAAAAACACTTTCAAAATTACTTAAATTTTTAAAAATAATAAAAGAGGAAGAAGTGTGCCCTGTGATATAATAAAGTAGATTTACATCATAGACTTATATCTATTTAGTAATTTTTTTGGATTTTTATTGTATTTTCAATCTTTGACAAGAATGTGTCTACATTTTTGTATCCTTAAAATGGATTTTGACAATTTAAATCTGATAGCCTTACCTTTATCAATTTCATGATACTGCTTTTGGCATGACTTAATACAATGATAAAAACTGAATTTTTAAAAAAGAGCACTTGACATTTTTTCTTCCAACATTAATTTGAATTTTTTTATGGACGTTAGAAAATGTTGCAGTTTAGTCATAATCAAAAATAAATCTTGAGGCTAGTAGAGCAGCTTTGGTGCTGTTTATATTTTAATTGCTTACTGGATTTCAATGTTACCTAGGCCCATCAGTTTGGTATTTTGCCACCTTGCACATTAAGTGACGTTTAATTTTTCTTTTTTCTTTTTTTCATATTACTTCTAAATCCTGAATAGTTTGTGGCAGCTGGAGATCACTTAGTCCACCACTGTCCAACCTGGCAATGGTAAGTAATATTGAGTAAAGAATAGAAAATTAGTAAAAGGCATGGCTTCAGAATTATAGCAATTTGCAAAACAGGTTGATGGATGAAAATTAGAATGACCAGTTTAACTTACTCCCCGCAGATTTTTCTGTTAAACAGTGCCCCCAGTGATACTCAAAGTAAAATAGAGGAAGAACAAGTGGGTGTTGTACCCACGTTATTTTGCTATGTTAGCGCGATAGGTGGACTTATTTGAGAAAAATGCATTTACTTCTTTACTATTATTTCTTTTCTTTATAGTGTTTAGGTCTGACCTTCTGGTTTGTTGAATAATAGTTTAATAAAATTTGATCGGGTTTTTGGCGGGGCACAGTGGCTCATGCCTGAAATCCCAGCACTTTGGGAGGCTGAGGCGAGCAGATCACGAGGTCAGGAGATGGAGACCATCCTGGCTAGCATAGTGAAACCCCATCTCTACTAAAAATACAAAAAAATTAGGCGGGTGTGGTGGCGGGTGCCTGTGGTCCCAGCTACTTGGGAGGCTGAGGCAGGAGAATGGCATGAACCCAGGAGGCAGAGCTTGCAGTGAGCCGAGATGGTGCCACTGCACTCCAGCCTGGGTGACAGAGTGAGGCTCAGTCTCAAAAAAAAAAAAAAATTTGAACAGGCTTTTTTTCTTTTTTTTTTTTTTTTTGAGACGGAGTCTTGCTGTGTCACCCAGGCTGGAGTGCAGTGGCCGGATCTCAGCTCATTGCAAGCTCCGCCTCCCGGGTTTTTACGCCATTCTCCTGCCTCAGCCTCCCGAGTAGCTGGGACTACAGGCGCCCACCACCTCGCCCGGCTAGTTTTTTGTATTTTTTAGTAGAGACGGGGTTTCACCGTGTTAGCCAGGATGGTCTCCAACTCCTGACGTCATGATCCGCCCGTCTCGGCCTCCCAAAGTGCTGGGATTACAGGCTTGAGCCACCGCGCCCGGCCAAACAGGCTTTTTTTCAAATTAACAAAATTTATTGAACATATTTGTGGCATTAATAAATGCAGAGATTTTGCAGTTTTATTTTCTTTAAAATATAAGACATAAACATTTTCCATTAGGTTCAAAAGTATGCTCCATCTTTAGGAAACTAGCTAAAGCTAAAAGAAAGGTTTATGATACCAATTAAGGCCTTCACTGTAAGTCTGCTTTTAAGAGGCTTTAAGTTTTTGTTTTTTTAATAGCTTTTATTTTAATTACTAAAGTACTTTAAGCAATTTAGCAGTTTTCACAATCTATATTTTAAAATATTCTGAATAATCACAATGTTTTATTACTTTCAAGTACCCATGATAAAGATTCCCTGTTGGTAGCTGAAATATTGGCAGAACTTTTATTTAAACTAGAATTGCTTGGAATTATCACCTTGTTTGGATGTAGGTGCTTCAACTTGTTATATCTTTTTTTTTCTTAAAATTTTTTTTCAATTGTAGTTGAAAAGTATAGTTTTGACTGGAGATAGGAGTTCTATAATTAACAAGTTTCCAATTGATAATGTTTTTCTTAATATCTAAAGACCTTGAAATGCTCTTTCATCTGTGGCCTGTTATTCTCCTGCATTTTAGTACTTACCATGTAGCTGAAACAGTTGTCACTGCTTTTTTCAATTACTCTTTATTTTGTAGGGCATTATTTATGTACCAAAAGACTAAAGTTTCAAGTTTGTTTTCTGTTCCATATTTAAAATTAAATTCATGTCATAGAAGTTCTCTGATTTAATGAAGGTTTTTCTTTTTTCTATATTCCAGGTATTCTGTTAAAACTATATTTAGCTAGGTTCTGGTCTATAATTTATGTGTATTTCAAGTCAAATAGGGACATGATGTTTACAATAATATTCACTTTGTGAAAATAAGTGATTTAGGATTTTTTTCAATATGATAAGCATTGAGATTTCTTTGTTCTACCAGCTTAATTGTTTAAGTAGTGTAGATATTTGATTTATAGCATTGTTGTAGGGGCTTGTATATATGGACAGGATCTCTTTTTTAGCAGGTACTAGTAGTTTTATTCCGTTTTATGAATTACAATGATTTTACTGTAACTTAGAACTCAATTATACCCCACTTTAGTGTCCACACTTTTGGCTAAATTGCTGGGCCAAAGGAAAAATTCATTTTAAATCAGTGCTAGAGACAGGTTATACCTTCATGTGTACAAGTGCTATTATGACCTTATTTTAACTCTTCCCTTAGAACTTCGGGTGTTGCCATGACATTGTTGAATTTGACACTTGGGACTAGTCAAAAGAAGCCTAGAAGACTGTCAAATAATTTTAGGGCTTTTCCTGACTTTACCTTGTGCCCAGATCAATGGTTTGAACTTTAGGCTGAAGCTTGAAAAGACAGCAGAACTCCAAATTTATGCTCATATGTTTGTGACAGACACCACATACCATTCCACCTCTCACCATTTTCAGATGACCCACAAATTCTTAAGAAGAGGTGCCAGAGCAGCTCAGAAATGTAGATAGTTGGCTCTGACCCACAGAGGGAACAGTGTTTAAAAGTAGGAGCCCTGAAGTCACTTGGCTTTGATCCTTGCTCTCCCACCTAGTTTTGTGATCATAGGCAACTTGATCTGTTTAATCTTTAGTTTACTTAACTATAAAATGGGATATTTATATTTTCTACTGTTTAGAGTTATGAAGACTAATTGAAAATAACATGTTGGAGACTTAAATTCTATACTTAATAAGCACTCAATGAAAGGGTTTTTTGTTTTCAAGAATTATTAATATTGTCATTTTATGAATCAAAGCATCTTTTGTCTCTTAGTTCTGATTTTAATACAGTGATAGGAACAGGGATTTTGCCAGCCACCTACATTGTTACATAATGTCTTGCAGCTTTTTTTTTTGCCTTGTTCTCAAGATGAGCAGCAGTACTTTAGGATTAAAAATGTGAGAGATTATACAATGGGCTACAACTTACTGAGGAGCAGCATATTTCACTTAGATTATTGTTGCGCTTTTTTCCATGCCCTGACATACTTACTTAATGGAATCCTTCCCAAATCAATTTTAAACCAATTTTCTGAGAAGTATGGATTATGTCATTTTGAGATTTATATGTGATACTTTCTGCTCTATATTTGCCTATTAAAATATATTTTGTATTTTGGTGCTTTTCACTGTTTTTAAAGGGCTACAGGGGAAGAATTGAAAGTGAAGGCATACCTACCAGCAGGCAAACAATTTCTGGTAACCAAAAATGGTAAGAATTATGTTGCATATATTAATAAATTTTGCACAGAAGTATATTAAAATGAAGCTCTGGGTTTTTCTGTTGCTTGAAAATTTTTTCCTTGGTTTTATCTCCTCTTTCTGTTATTTCTTTCTGCCAAAAACATATAGTTGTCAAGATATAAAGGAAGAGGGCCCTAAGGAAAGTTAGACTTCTAAGTGGATTTTTTTGAAGTTGGCTTCATAATAATCTTTCTAGGTATTTGATTTTAATCTTCTTTAGACTGCAATTTTGTATGGAAAATGTAATTCATACTACCTATGATAGCTAAAAGCACAGAGCTGAAGATGTTATTACCCGTTGTGTCATAGAAGGGCACAAAAATGTTTTGAAACAGGTAGTGTTTTTTTTTATTTTTGGTTTTTTTGAGACAGTCTCGCTGTGTTGCCCAGGCTAGAGTGCAGTGGAGCGATTTCGGCTCACAGGTTCAAGCGATTCTCCTGCCTCAGGCTCCCAAGTAGTTGGGATTACAGGCCTGCCACCACACCCTGCTAATTTTTGTATTTTTTGTAGAGACAGGGTTTCGCCATGTTGGTCAGGCTGGCCTCGAACTCCTGGCCTCAGGTGACTTGCCCGCCTTGGCCTCCCAAAGTGTTGGGATTACAGGCGTGAGCTACCGCGCCTGGTGGAAACAGGTAATGTTTTATTTATGAAGTTAAATTTAAAAACAACATCAAAAGGTTGTTAATAGTTCCTAACTAATCACAGAACAGTACATTGATTTCTGTTCCAATTTACTCATTATAGGAAAGGGAAAATAATGTGTACAAAACAGTTTTTTCTTTTCTACAGTATATTCCTTTTTACAAAGGCTGATAATTTATATCCTGATTGTTTAAAAAAAAATCAGGAGATTAAAAAGCAATTTGTTGACCTTATACCATAATGCTTTTACCGTGTAATTACCCAATCTTAGGCTTGTGAATAATAATGCCTGTTAATTGACACATTTACTGTATGAACAACTTACCAGTGTGGTATAAAGAAGTAAAAATCAGAAGGTTGGTGAATTTTAAACTGTTTTATCCATTGTAAATAACTGGAACTTAAATATGAATTATAAAATTTATATTGAAAGTTACTTTAGCTTTGAAAACAAGAGGTCACCTTTACCACCACTGAATATGACAGCTGGTAGCTCCATGTTCTGAGAGTAAAGCCATTAAAATAAGGTATTATTCATTAGACTGACATTGAACTTCAGCCTGCTGTTCTTCACAGACCATCATGGTAAAGGAATGCATAGAACATTCCCAATAGAGACTTTCTGCTTGTCTTCTGACAAAGCTATTTAGGAAAAGGTAAATGTAGCCAAATAATTTTGTGTCTGTGGGCTGAATGTAACTCTTAATCACCTTTAAAAGTGAAACATAATATTCACTTAGTATTTTGGTGGTATAAACACCCTATTTTATGGACTAAGCTCTTCTTTCTAATGGGTTTATGGTTAGCAGATTATGTGCTAGTAACTGTGTTTACCATTTTTTTATAGTGCCGTGCTATAAGCGGTGCAAACAGATGGAATATTCAGATGAATTGGAAGCTATCATTGAAGAAGATGATGGTGATGGCGGATGGGTAGATACATATCACAACACAGGTAAGAGAAGAATAGAATGACATACATTTAGTTTAAACTCTTTCACAATCTTTTATAATAGCCTAGATTTAAAAAAGAGGATACATAAGGCATAGTTTTGTCCCAGTAGACTTACATGAAAAAAGCAGGAGGACAAATATTAAAAAAGAAGCCTTTAGAGTATGCCAAATTTATTTATTTTTGTTGTTGTTGTTGAGACAGAGTCTCGCTCTGTCGCCAGACTGGAGTGCAAGCAGTGTGATCTTTGCTCACTGCAACCTCCACCTACCGGGTTCAAGCGATTCTCCTGCCTCACCCTCCCGAGTAGCTGGGACTACCGGTGCGCACCCCCATGCCCAGCTAATTTTTGCATTTTTAGTAGAGATGGGGTTTCACTTTGTTGGCCATGATGGTCTCCATTTCTTGACCTCGTAATCTGGCTGCCTCGGCCTCCCAGAGTGCTGGGATTACAGGCATGAGCCACTGCGCCTGGCCAGAGTATGCCAAATTTCTATAATACCTGCTACTTCCATTGCAACTTGAAAATACTCAATATTATTTTCTTAGTTCCTAGATAGAGGGGGAAAAAAGTCCATCAGAGATGCTGAATATGCATACTACTTTGCTTTACTGTCTCTTGCTTACATGTCATTGTCATTCCACTGCTGGATTATGTGGTCCTCTATGACAGGAACTATACTGTATTCACATTTACCCAGAGAACTGACATCTATTAAGTATTTAATAATTGTTAAATAACAACTAAAAGAAATTTTTAGTGCTGTAAGCTCCATGAAAGTAAAGATTTGTTGTTGAATTCTCCATATCTATCACAGTGTATGATATAGAAGTTGTTCAGTAAATATTTGTTGAAAGAGTTGAATGCAAGGTTTTTATAAGTGTTTCCATGATTTATTTGAAACCCTGAATATACTTTTTTATTCTAAGTCCTAAAACACTGTTTTGCCACTATATTTATATAACTATGTAAATGCATATTAAGTGCTGCTGAAGCTAACTACCATTTATTACTTGTTTTGATGAAGAAAATGTGCTCTAAGTTTAAATCCATGATACTAAAAACAAATTTTTCTCCCTTTGAGTCCTAGAGATTAGGAGGTATATCCTTAGTAGTAGTAATAAAACAGGGTTTCTCAAATTGGCACTGCTCTTTGGAATGGAAAATGTGCTCTAAGTTTAAGTCCTTGATACTAAATACAAGTTTTTCTCCCTTTGAGTCCTAGAGATTAGGAGCTATATCCTTAGTAGTAATAGAACAGGGTTTCTCAACCTTGGCATTGTTTTTTGGAATGGATAATTATTTCCTGTGCATTGTAGAATGCTTAGCAGTATCTCTGGCCTGTACCCACTAGATACCAGTAGCATCCCCCAGTTTTAACAACCAAAAATGCCTCCAGAGATTGCTGAATGTTTCATGGGGGAAAAAATTGCTGCCTTCAGTTGAGACTCACTGCAGTAGACAGAGGGCTAAGTATCTGCCCAAGTAAAAGTTTCTTCTTAGGTCAATTTCTCCTCTACTCTTAATAAAGGATGTTGCCTCTTTCCTTACGGAGATATAGGCAAAGATTTAGGACTTGGGTTCCTTGATCTGAAATTTATTGGCTTATTAGTGAGTTGAGTGCTGTATCAAAGCCTAAAGGAAATAACAGATTGAAAAACTTTTGAAAGTAATTTCAGAAATCATCCTTCTTTTCCCCCCACTGACTAGTGAAAGTCTATTAACTCTTCTGCTTTGGTTTTTCCATGCCTGGAAGATGTTGGCAAGACATCAGTAGGAAATTCTCTGTTGACTGACTGGAACCATTGATTGTGCGTTGTTTTTAATGTCAAGTTAGTGACTTACGAGGCCAGATACTGGTTCCTTATTCAACTCAGAGTCCCTTGCTTTATCCTTGCTTTTCCTGGGCTTTTTCTTGTATAAGCTTGTGTATTATTCGTGGTTCTCTAGAGAAACAGAACCCATAGGATGTGTACAGAGTAGGTTTTGCTTTCTGTGGTTTCAGTTACTTGTAGTCAACCATGGTCCAAAAATATTAAGTGCAAAATTCCAGAAATAAACAATTCATGGGTTTTAATTTTTGCCCTCACTGTTGGAGTAGCGTGATAAAATCCGTTCTGCCCAAGAGGTGAATCATCCCATTGTCTAGTGTATCCCTGCTGTGTATGCTACCCAGCCATTAGTCACTTAATAGCCAACTCTGTTATCAGGTCAACCGTCATGTACAGCGTAGGTAGGGTTTGGTACTATCTGTGGTTTCAGACACCCTCTGGGGGTCTTGGAATGTCCCCCACAGATAAGTGAGGACTATTGCATAGGTATAGGTATAGATATAGGTAGATAGGTTTGTTTGTTTGTTTGTTTGTTTGTTTGTTTGTTTGTTTGTTTTAGAGGAATTGGCTCATGTGATTATGTGGGCTGGCAAGTCTGAATTCTGCAGGGCACACCGGCAGACTGGAGATTCAGGGAGTGTTGATATTGCAGCTTTAGTCCTAAGGCGTTCTGGAGGCTGAATATCTTCTTCTGGAGGACCTCAGTCTTTTTCTTAAAAGGCCTTCAACTGATTGGATGATATCCCCCTATCTTGTAGAGGGTAATCTGCTTTATCCAGTCTACTTATTTAAATGTTGATCACATCTCAAAAATACCTTAACAGCTACATCTAGAATGGTGTTTGACCAAAAATCTGGGTGCCATAACCTAGCCAAGTTGACATAAAATTATCATAACCCTTGAGAGAATTACTCTCATTAGTCATTCGAGCTTTCTTTTTCTTTGTCAACTATATCCTACTTTTAGAAGTGTTTTAATGGCATACTACTACATTATTATATTTTGGCAAATTAAAGAGATTGATTTTCTTTAAAATCAATCTGAATTGACTTTAAAAACAGTCAATTCAGTATGTTAAAATTTGGGTTTCACTGTTATGAAATAATCATACCTATTATATAGTAATTTCTAGAAAAACTGAAGTAAAAGCTTTGTGCTAGACCTATGGATTTTGACCTATTTTATTTGTGAAAGTGAGCTATTTATTCTTTTGTTTAGGCATGTTGAACAGACATCTCAAATTTTAGAAGATTAGCAAAGGAGCTAAGCACATTCTGTACTCAGGGTTTTTCTTTAGTAAGTTTAGATGCTATTGTCTTACGGTACTTCTTGTTAAACTATTTTGTTAACATTGACAGGTACTTTGAAGTAGAAATATTATCTAGCTGACAGGTGGTGCTGCCACCTGCTTAATGCTTTCTTTGAGACAAGTAGATTTTGAGGTATTTGCCCAGCAGAGTACAAGAGAATTGAACCAAAAGTTAGCTTGTATGGATTTTAATCCCAATTTCATCATTTAACTGGGTATAACACTCAAGCAGGTCATCTCTCCAGTGACTTCATTTCTTCATACGAATACATTATTACTGTAACTTCCTTATAGGATAGTCATTGTAAGGATTAAATAAGATGTGGAAACAGTAGAAAGCCCCATATAAATGTGATATGATATTACTACCTTTGGGTATCCTACATTTATGAAGCAAATAACAAACAGATTGAGTATCCCTAATCCAAAAATCCAAATGAAATGTTCCAAAATCCAAAACTTTTTGAGCACTGATATGATGCTCAAATAAAATGCGCGTTAGAGCATTCTGAAGTTTTGTATTAGGGATACTTGACCAGTAAGTATTTATGCAAATATTCCAAAATCTAAAAAAACTGGAAATACTTCTGGTCCCAAGCATTTCAGATAAGGGATAATCAGCCTATATTAAGATAACTAATAGCTTTGAGAAAATTTTGATGCAAGTTTAATTAAAATGTACATACGAGTCCTGTAGTTTCTTAAACTCTTCTCTTTCCTTTTTTTTTTTTTTGCCCCCCTAAGATGGAGTTTCGCTCTTGTCTCCCAGGCTGGATTGCAGTGGTGCAATTTTGGCTCACTGCAACCTCCGCCTCCCGGGTCCAAGCACTTCTCCTGCCTCAGCCTCCAAGTAGCAGGGACTACAGGCACACACCACCATGCCGAGCTAACTTTTGTATTTTTAGTAGAAACAAGGTTTCACCCTGTTGGCCAGGCTGGTCTCGAACTCCTGACCTCAGATGATCTACCCGCTTCGGCTTCCGAAAGCATTGGGGTTACAGGCGTGATCCATCGCACCTGGTCAAACTGTTCTGTTTCTGAGAAAGTGTGATAGAGATTCTAACAAGGAAAGTAAGGAATAATAAGTGAAGAATGGCAGGATAATTCATGGTAAAATATTAATGAGGTTTTCAAAATTTGAGGAGGTGTCATTGTGACTATTCTTATTAGAGTTCATTTGTAAAGATACTATTATTTGCCTCCTTTTTTCAGAGAAATTATGAGAATTTTCAGCATTTTTATAGTACTTTAATAAGTAAATAGGGTGTTTGCAGTTTAATTTTAATTATTCTTTTCTGCTGAATTTTACATAGGTATTACAGGAATAACTGAAGCAGTTAAAGAGATCACATTGGAAAACAAGGTACTGCTTAATTATATTTTTAAATTTAATGACTAGTTATTTGCCTATCTATCTATCTATCTCTACGCACACATATATAATCACCATATCTGTCTTATAAAAACCCTGGTTATTTATTATCAAGCTCTTTTAAATTCCAGCTTTCTTCCCCATTCATTTTTTTGTCTCAACACACCAAAACGCTACTGCTGCCTAATGCATCTCTTATTTTCCTTAATTTGCAGTATGGTTAAGTAAAACAGCTTTTAGATTGTAGCTTGTGCAAACTACTAATTTTCACTGACTGGAGTGACTTCTAGGCTAGTTTAAAAGAGATGACTTTTGTTTTAAAATGTATTTAGTACCAAATGTCATGTAAGTAGAGAATTTTGGGGTGGAATTAACTACTTGCTTACTAGTAGATGCTAAGGATATATTAACATTTAAATTTTATAGGTTAAATAGTGCCATAAGCAATTTAATCATTCTCTGTATTTTCTTCACCTACTGGTAATTTGGAGTTTATTTGTTTGAATATTTGAAAGCAAACTTTAGCTTGCATCATTCAAATTTGTAACATTTTGAATGAATAGAAGCTTAATCAGTTAAGTGTTATTGCATGACTTATGGGGTAAAACATAATTGGATAGAGTTTTTCTGCTTGGAAATTCTGAGTTATTTTAGGCTGTCGTAGGTATTAGATTAGCTTTTCATTTCTCAGATCAATTGCAGTTGTCTTCATGTTTTTATATACCTGTAGTTGTTTGAAATGATATGAAAATATAATATAAAATGCTCTCACCCTTGTCTTAGTTATTTTTTTATCCGTCAGATCACTTAGAGGATAGACTATTTAGGTGGAATAATTGTGTTGCTAGTCTTACGACACATTTGCTACAACAGTTACTAAAGATATTCTTTATGTGATTTTGTCATTTGGATCTTTCCGGATTTGTAACTGGGGCTTAACAGAAAGTGATAGAAATTAAGACAAGTTTTGTGGGGTTTTTTGGTACAGTTTTATGCTTTAAGATTTAGTTATTTGGCCTGAGAATTCTTCATTTTGAAATTCGACTTTTTGGAGTGTTTGAATGACTTAAGGAGAAATCACACAAATTGCTTTGCTGTTTCAGAAGATCTTTTTTACTCTGACCATTACTATGTATGCTTCAGACTTTGGGAATGATAAATGGCAGAGTAGTGTAGATAGTGATTTTCGTGGATGGGCTTATGGTAATACCTTTAATTTTTTTATAACTTAGAATACTTGCCATCCAAACGCAAGTATTAATCTTGGTTGTCAATTTCTATTGTATTCTACTTTATCAAGTATAAATATCACCAATATGATGAAAATTTTTCTTAATGATTAATTTGTTAGATAATAGCTCATATAATAATTACTGAGACACTGACAGTGGTTTTGTGGTTTCAATTTTGGGTGTAAGAATGATTTAAGTTTTAAACATATAGTGTTAAATAAAACCACCCCTAAGTAAAATGTAACCTAGGTAAAACTAAATGTTCAATTTATCCACTTATTATGTTGACTTCAGATTTTCAGAATATTAATTTTGTGAAAATAGCCAGATGTTAAACCTGTTGGTCAGTATTGTTCTTTCACTCTAGAGCTAATATAGTTAAGAAATTAAACTGATATTTTGTGCGTTTTAATAATTGTAAAGTCCGACAACTTGCCTAATTCAGCTAGGATATTGTTAACAAATTAGAGTGTAATAGTGTTTGATTTATATTTTAGCTTATAATATATTTGATTTATAAATATATGCACTTTTTCCTCTTAAATTATAAGTGCACAAGTTAATATAATATTGACCTGATTTTCTAATACTAATGAATTGATTGACCAAAAATACTGTTTTATTGGAAGTGCAACTGGCGATTATTTTTAAATAGTTAGCTTAGATGACTCTTACTGCTCCCATAATAACCTTTGTTATTTTTCAGTCACAGCACTTAGCACATTACTTTTAATGATTGATGTATGAATTCATTATCTCCATTGGAGTTTAAGTTTTTTGTGGAGAAGAACTGCCTTATCATTCTTATTTTCACAGTGGTTACCACTGTGCTAGCACATGGGTGTTCAGTGTTTAAATATTTAATATATTTAAGTGAATTTAAATGTAATTAATTTCAAAGGACAATATAAGACTTCAAGATTGCTCAGCACTATGTGAAGAGGAAGAAGAGGAAGATGAAGGAGAAGCTGCAGATATGGAAGGTATCCCTGTTCTAGATTTGCTTCAATTCCACTAGAATATTTATTTAGAATATTTGTAATTTATGCGGATTGAGAATTCTTCATTGAGTTGTAAGTTTAGCATATAGCAGCCTAGGGTATATTTTATATATGTTTAGTTTATGAAAATTTCATTGGTGTAAAACTTACCTTGATCTTGGACTCTTCTATTTTACTCCGAACATAGTCTTGGACAACAACATTTTTATTGGAATAACTATTAGACATAAATATTTAATACTGGGTACAGCTGCAAGATACTAATTCCTAACCAAATTATTTCAGAGCAGAACAAAGTTTGCTTATTATGCATTTTGTATTTTCTTTTCCCCCTTTGATAGCATCTTTCTACTAAAACCTGAAGATAGTGAGTTTCAATGGGGCCTTTTTTTTTTTCTTTTTTTGAGACGGAGTCTCACTCTGTCACCAGGCTGGAGTGCAGTGGCGCAATCTCGGCTCACTGCAACCTCCGTCTCCTGGGTTCAAGTGATTCTCTTGCCTCAGCCTCCCGAGTAACTGAGACTACAGATGCACGCCACCACACTCAGCTAATTTTTGTATTTTTAGTATAGAGACGGGGTTTCACCATATTGGCCAGGATGGTCTTGATCTCTTTACCTTACCATCCGCCCACCTTGGCCTCCCAAAGTGCTGGGATTACAGGTGTGGGCCACTGTGCCGGGCTAATGGGGCCTTTTGAACTACACAGAATCCCCTCAGTTTCCCAAGATTCTGAGAAGTCCTCCTCCTAGAGTTGCCAGTTGAGAATCACTGCATTAGTGAATCATTGTTACAAGAGAGAGAAACCCACTAAAATCAGAGAAGTATGGGTCTGTTAGCACATGGTTATTCAAAGCTTTGTATTTCATGAGCATGATAATCTTTTTCAATACATTTGAAACCTCAGATATTTAAAAGTAGATGAAAAAATTGCTGTCACCAGGGTGACCTCTTTGTTAAATCCAGTTTATCTTTATTACACTTACCTTTTCTGCATTGATTCTGTTAACCGTATCTTCCTCTTTTTTTTTCCTCCTTTGGTTTCTATAACACTGGGTTTTCTTCCTCTTTCCTGGACTCTTTCTTCTAGTAATCTATGATTCTTTTCTTTCCCTCAGCAATTAAATGTTACTGTTTCATGGGTTTCTTTCTTTCTTTTTTTTTTTTCCTTGCTTACTCTCTGTACTGCCAGATTTTTTCTTCTGTAATAGCATTCTGTAGTCTGGCATGAGAATTTCTGCAACAAGAAAGATAGCGTATAAATTACATCCAATACTTTGTGAGAGTTTAAATATGAATATATTTATATATGTAAATAGGGTGCATGTGTAAGAAGTCGGAAAAAGGAAAAGGATATGAAAAAAGGGCAGGCATTGAAGGCTGTAAGGCAGCTGAATCCCAAAAATACATAGACTTTAGAGTGAGATAGATTGTGTTTTGTAGCATGCAGAAGTAGAAGATGGTGCCAGGTAGAGTTGAAACACCATAATGGCAAGTGATGCTTGCTGGACCAAAAAAGTACCTTTCTGTTTGTTTTCAAAATTACTTTCAATTCCCCATGAAACCTAGCTATATCTGTTCCTAAATTTCAGTGAGATTCTTGTCCTTATTTTCATAGTAAACTGCTATTCCTTAAGGAAATCTGAATGAATTACTTGTAACCAGAATTGATCACAGCAGCCTCACATACCATCTGTATGCTAGGGACTTCCATATCGAATCCTCTAGCCTAGATATTGTCAACTTCAGATTTATTTCAGTTTCATTTCCACCTGGATGTCTCATAGTTGTCAGAAACTGAACTCATCACCTTCTTGCACAAATATTATTTCTGAATTTCATCTGTCTCTGAATGGTATAGTTGACCAAGTTGGGTTGGTGGGGTGGCATAGAACCCTTCGATTAAAGCACTGTTTTCAAAGTACAAGCTGTGGGATTGCCTTAAATATCTGATAGTCATTTAGTATGTTTATTATATTTCCCCTAGATAGAGTTAAAGAATTGCTATATATGTAATTTTGCTCAACAATAATGTTGATGGTATCTAATATAAACGTATTTTCATTTATTGAACAAATTATTTATTGGGCAGTACAGTATTTATCAGGTATTGTCCTTAGTGTTGGAGCTAAAGCAGTAGACATGATCTCATGGAGTTTATATTCTAATCAATGGAGACAAAAAATAGATAAGCAAAAGATATACTGTATTAGTTATAATTGTTAAGGAAAAAATAAAGGAGGAAAGGGCTAGAGAATCTTGGGGTGGGAATGAGTGTTGCAATTTTTAAATAAGTTGGTCAAGAAAAACCTAACTGAAAGTACACACCATTAAAATAAAGCCTGGAAGGAAGTGAATGAAACTAGGTATCTGAGGGAAGAGTGCAAAGGTCCTGAGGTGGGAATGTGTGTGGCTTATGTAAAATACTGTAAGGTATGCTTATGTCCAGATAGGAGAGAAGGGAGAGTAGTAAAGGGTGGATTCAGGTAACCAGGGACCAGGTTCTATAAGGTCTTGACATAACTCAGAGTGAGAGAAGCCATTGGAGGGTTTTTTCTTTTCAAGTAGAGGAGCGACATGATTTAACATTTCAACAGAACCACGGTGCAGTGGTAAGAATAGACTGAAGGGAGAAGGGGACAGCAGGGGGCTGTTTTGATAATCTAGGCAAGAAAAGATGGTGGCTTGGGCTAGGGTCATAACATTGGTAGTGGTGAGAAACAGTAGAATTCTGGAATATTTTGAGAGTTGAGCCAAAGAGATTTGCTGCTGGATTGGATGTCATATGTGACAAGCGGAGTAGTCAAGGGTGACTCCAAGGTTTTTGACCTGAGCTTCTAGAAAGATACCATTAACTGAGATGCGGAAAAATCAAGAGTGATTAGCTTTGGAGAGGGAGTCAGGAACTCAGTTTTAGACATGTGATATTTGCAGTGTTCATTAGTTATCTAGTGGAGAAGTGAAGTAAACAAATATCCAAGTCTGCAGACAGGGAATAAATTTGAAAGTCATCAATATTTAAAGTCATTGAGTCTGGATGAAATCGTTACAGAAGTAAGTGTGGATAGAGGAGAGGCAAGGTCCAGAAACTGAGCCCTTGGTTACTGCAGTGTTTGATTTTATGGTTCTTTTAAAGTAGAGGTGATGAAGAGGAACCAGCCTAGAAGATAGTGAAGCAACAGTCAGTGATGTGGGAGGAAAGCCATATTTTAAAAGCCAAGGAAAGAAAATGTTCCAAGGAGAAGGGACTAAAAAATGCCACGTGTTCCTGATAGGTCAGTTAAGATGAAAACTGGGCATTTACCACTGGATTCAGCAAAGAGGAGGTCACCGATGACTTTAATGAACATGTTTATGCAGTTATAGAAGTAGCCTTGTATACACTGTGGAGCCACTGAGGACTCTACAGCATTATTATGTCAAGCCTTAAACATGCTAACTTTCTCTGGGCTTTTGCCTTTGGAAGTATCAAATTAGCTCACTTATATCTATTCAATATCTTTGTTAAAAACAACGGCAAAATCCCAGTTTTTGAATGCTACTATGAAGTAATACTTAAATTGGTTTAGGCAATTTTCTTGAACTTGATTAATCTTTTGTTGCTTTTTATAACAGAATATGAAGAGAGTGGATTGTTGGAAACAGATGAGGTTTGTAAATTGAGTTTTCTTTAGTTAATTTTTAATGAATGAACTTGGGGATTCGTGTTCTTATTAATATATTGATCTTTCAAAGAAATTCTAATTTGTTCATATTGATTATAGCATATACAATTTAGCTTTGAGTTCAAGTTCATTTACCCTTAAGAAAACAAAATATAGAATGGAAAAAATAGGTTTTCTAGAATGTCACATTCATACTGATTTAATGGTTGTAAATTTTTCTCTTTTATTATGTGCCAGGCTACCCTAGATACAAGCAAAATAGTAGAAGCTTGTAAAGCCAAAACTGATGCTGGCGGTGAAGATGCTATTTTGCAAACCAGAACTTACGACCTTTACATCACTTATGATAAATATTACCAGACTCCACGATTATGGTTGTTTGGCTATGATGAGGTAAAAATTAGAAGCATTATATTTTAATATCAATATTTTAAATTGTTGGGTTTAATTTCTTCTTCATTAGGTCCATGGGTATTTATTGTAGTGTTTTAAATGTTGGAAATCATTTGTTTTACAGTTTTATGATTAATGTTGAACTTGATTCTTTCTTATTTTGAATGAACTATAAATTATTCAGTGTAGCATCAATAATGCTAAGACATAAACAGAAATAGTCTGTTACATATTCCTTGACCTCTAAGCTTATGCCTTCAAAATGTGAGGGAAATTTAAATTTTGTTTGGGATTACATCAGTTGGGTATGTAGGCATTTAGAGAATGACCATTGTCACATGTGAAGAAAGTGGATTGTTGTATGTATGTATTTTTCCCCTTAAGACAGAAAACTCATCTGCTTAATTGAATTAAAGGATAATTGATATAAGATTAACTTGTTTAATCTGTCATTCTTATGGCTATATATGGGAAACAAGAAAATAAAATCAGTCTAAAAGATGAGTTACAAAGCTATAAAATGTTTTGACAGCCACAAACTTGTCTTTTTGTGAGATTTTTTTTCTGCATTAGGGGGTAGCTGTCACAGAGCTTGGCTATGACTCCTTCCTGTCCTTCCCTTGATATTAATAAATTGTAAAATTTCCCGGAAATCATTCTAAACAGTCTAGAATTCTAAATTGCAAGTGACGTGAGATGGAGAACTAAATATATTAGAAACCTTGAGATTTAGGCTGAAAGTTTCTAAATAGTAAATTTTTTTTTTTTTTTTTTTTGAGATGGAGTCTCACTCTGTCGCCCAGGGTGGAGTGCAGTGGCGCAAACTCAGCTTACTGCAAGCTCCACCTCTGAGGTTCACGCCATTCTCCTGCCTCAGCCTCACAAGTAGCTGGGACCACAGGTCCCCGCCACCACGCCCTGCTAATTTTTTGTATTTTTAGTAGAGACGGGGTTTCACCGTGTTGACCAGGATGGTCTTGATCTCCTGACCTCGTGTTCTACCCGCCTCAGCCTCCCAAGTGCTGGGATTACAGGAGTGAGCCACTGCACCCGGCCCTAAATAGTAATTTCACAGCATTTTTTATGCTTTCAGCAACGGCAGCCTTTAACAGTTGAGCACATGTATGAAGACATCAGTCAAGATCATGTGAAGAAAACAGTGACCATTGAAAATCACCCTCATCTGCCACCACCTCCTATGTGTTCAGTTCACCCATGCAGGTATGTATATGTAGAGATAAATATATTTTTTGGTGTGATTGTATATTTCATGGATTTGTTACTTGAGAATCTTGAAACATAGAACCCTAACAGAAAAAAATTTTCTTAATAAACAAGTAAAATTCTCTCTTGTCCTCCTTAGAAATTTTCTTGTGCTTACATATATAAGAAAAAGGAAAAAAACAACTCACCAATTTAAGTTTAATACGTTAAGAATTTTTTTGTTCTCTGTGGGTGTTTGTAGAATAGATGGATCTTTGTGATTTTACTACACTTTTTAGCTCCCAGAACAGTTTGGAAGATTCTGTTTTTGACTCAGAAATAGTCATCATTTAGATATGGTTTGCTGTGTTATGACTGCTTTTCTGTGAATGTAGACCATAGAGTTAACCTTGTGATTTTTTTAGGTGACCTATTTGCTTTCTTTTATTGATTAGTGAAGGGAGATATATGTATGTATGTTCTTCAGTTGAGAGTTCGTCAGCCTTAGCAAGTCAAGTGCGTTTATAAATTGGGATTTTCTTTGTGTCAGTGGCTTTTCACAGAACCAAATCTGTGAAGCTAAACCTATATACATGATTTGTTCAAAATTTTTCTTTAAAAAAAAAAGTTATTACATGCTAATTTCTTTAGGTTGGTTATTTCTAATAGATAACTTTTGCAGTTGATTGGAAAATACTAGTAAGTTTTTTTTGGTGAATATTGGTTACATACTAGTAACAGTATTTTTCAGTGAAACTCATTCTGTTGACCAATTAGATGAAACATTTCATTTTCTCTTCCCTCTAGTTAAAAACAACCTTTAATATTTTCTTCTGGTATTCTGCAACCTCTTTACTCTCAAACTTTAACCCCATGGGAGACCTTGATCATTTTTTCATTTTTTTAATGTCTGAAACTTTAATTGCTGGCTATGAAAAATAATTTAGGAGCCATTAGCTTTAGTTTTGAATTATGTAATCTAAAAAGTTTTCAGTTTTTAGAATTATTCTCTTGATTCCTCTTATGGTTTAAGGTCTTAGGATGGTGCTTATCAAACTGAAGCATATTTCTTTCTGAGGTGTAAAATTTACTCATTTGGGGGAAAAGTAATTTAACTGGTAATTATGTTAAACATTTTAATAAAATAGATGACTATATTGTGGAATGGGATGCAAATATTTCAAAAAATCTGAGTGCCTGTAAAATAAAACTTCAAGGATATTTTAGACTGTTCTATGGGCTGCCTCAGATTGTGCCTTCAAATCCTCTGGAATGATACATTCCCTCTCATATTCTAAGTTGACTTAGAATATGTGCTAAGGTTGTAGTAAAAACTGAAGCAGCATTATTTAAGCCAAGGTATGTTAAAAAGACTTTCTTTAAAAATTGTCTTTTTCTTAGTTTCTGTGCCTAGATACTTCGATACCACTATTTTCTTAGCACAGGAGAGATACCAATTGGCCATGATGTATAGATAGGATAGAAACTTCATATAAATAAATACCTTTCTTTTTATAAGCAAAAATAATTGTTTTTACATAGAATTGGATAAATTTTAGAATACCCATTAGGACAAAGAAACAAATACAAACCTCTTAACTCTGACCAATTAGCTTTTCTTAAACCCTCTCAGTTTTGGCTTGTTCTCAACTAAATCAACAGCCCAGATCACACGATTATAGATACCTCTTTGCTTTTTTGTCCAACTGACACCATGTGCCTTTTTTTTTTTTTTGTAATTTGTGTGATATGACTCTTTTTTGTTTCTTAGAGCAAACAGCTGTCATTCCACATTTTCTCCTGCATGATTTCCCCTTCCCTGGTTTTCTGCCTTCCTTATCTGTCCCAATTATCAGAACACTAACTAATGCCATTGTGCCTGCTGTGACTACCATAGCTTTTTAAGATTACACCCTCCACTGGTAAAACTATTTGCATGGCATAACAATCTATAATCTTGTGTTTTGGAAGTGGAGGGGAGATATTTTATAATTTAACTATTTTAATAAATACTTTATAGTTATTGGGGAATGGTGGGAGAGATAAGTTTGTAATGTAACTATTATATTAAAAATTAATTCACTGACAGTAATACGGTCGATTTCTTTACAAATGAAAATGTGTTTTTCCTCTTTTGGTCTAATCGGTCTACATTAATAATTTTTTTTTTGGCTTCTAGGCATGCTGAGGTGATGAAGAAAATCATTGAGACTGTTGCAGAAGGAGGGGGAGAACTTGGAGTTCATATGTATCCTTCCCTGTGTGTAGGATTAATGGCAAAATGGCTTTAGGATTTTTTTTTTTTTTTTTTGAGAAATTTAGTGTAACCTTAATGACATAGTACCTATAACTTGTTTTAACTTCTCATATCTGAAAATCCTAGTGGAAGTCTTTAATTTATTTAGAAAATGTTTTTTGTGGTAGTTACACCTTGCTTAGTTGATTAGAACATGTCCCCATGTGTAGCAGTAGCTCAGCCTTGTTACAGAGGTAACTACTAATTTAGAGTAATAACATGAGTATCTTTTTCTTAGGTATATTTCCAATTTAACTTGTTACCAAAAATGTACTTTCCCATCAGGTAAAAGTAAAATTATAGGTTGTGTCAATTGGAGGTGTCTCTGAAGCAAATAATTCAACTTAAACAAATAGGTAAATTAAAAAGTAATTAATGTACTACATGAAGTGCTTTAGATATTCTTAAAATATAGTATGTTCATTTTTCTCAAGACAGTAGCACCTTTCTTGTATCTTACTATAGTTTTCCTACTCAGTTTTCTTGGATTGACAAAAGTAATAAATTCAAGTTAATGCCCAAGCAAACTGTTGGATCCTAAAGTACCTGTACGCATAGCATAGATTCATCACACAGTCAAAATCAGTGATTAAGATGCCAGATAGCTTGAATTAGTTTCATGCTAGGTTAATAGTTGACATGGTGGTGGTTTCTGTTACTAAGTATTAGATTAGATATGGAGACTCAGACTGAGGGGCGTTGCTAATAAAGTGTGTCCCTAAGAAGAACTATGAGCTGATTTGATATTGAAACAAACCTAAAACTTCCAGTCCAAACCATATTTACTCCTAAAGTCCTATTATGCCTAACTGGCACATCTCTATGCTGGATACTAGGAAGCAACTGGGAAGACTGTCTATATATAATTCATAATAGTAATTGGTTTCCCCCAATGAAAAGTAAGCTCTTAACGTTTTTAAGTGCAATGAACATAAAAAAATTTCAGAATTTAATTAAAGACAGTCCAGTAAAGCAGTGTGACAAATACATACAGTAACCTAGAATCAGTCTACTATATAGGGTTTTCATTTAAGTTTTTTCTCTTTTGCTACAGTACTTTTATAGTCTATTCTGCCTTATTTTCTGACATAACTCTAGCAAACTTAAAGGGGTCTAGTAAATGAGTACATTTTGTACTCGATTAAACATGTATAGCTTTGTCCCTTTATTTTTATATCAAAGTAATTGTGCTTATATGAATGCCTACTCATTAAGAAGCTTCAAATTCAATATTAGAATGAGTGGTCAGGTAACTTTAAAGAGCCTCATGTTAAATAGACAAAAATTTGCATAGTTGAATTCTTTAATAGACTTAATTTAAGGGTTTTTGATTTTTTTTGAGAAATTAATGGCTTAATAAAATGGATAATTACAACATGGGCTTAAAACATAGAACTGTTTACAAATCTTATTTTCCTTAACTAAACCTTTAGGTATCTTCTTATTTTCTTGAAATTTGTACAAGCTGTCATTCCAACAATAGAATATGACTACACAAGGCATTTCACAATGTAGTGAAGAGAGCATAAAATCTATCCTAATTACTGGTTCTGATTTTTAAAGAATTAACCCATAGATGTGACCATTGACCATATTCATCAATATATACAGTTTCTCTAATAAAGGGACTTATATGTTTATGCATTAAATAAAAATATGTTCCGCTACCAGCCTTATTTGTTTAATAAAAATCAGTGTAAAGAGACACTTTTTCTTGCTTCTTATTAAGAGGTTATGATTTGATTTCCCCTAAATAACAATAAGTGAAGACATCTGTCTCATATAGAATGATGACAGATTATTTTTCGTTCACATTTATGAGGAAGGTATTAAATGTATAAGTCTCAAAACTAGGATTAGAAAACAGTGTGCTAGACTGTCTTCTTTTCTTTGTTCCTTTTGTTTTCTCTTACCTTTTCCTGTCTGCTCATAGTTAATATTTATGATGCGCTTACTGTTTGCCATGAACTCTTAAGTACTATTACTTACATGTTTCCCAATTGTTGTATTAAGTTCATAGCACCAAAATTATTTTTTATTAAGGATTCGGGAATATTTCTTCTATTGTGATTGCCTGGTAGAATACTAGAATTTAAAGGGATAATAAGTTTATTCTGTCATATCAGCTTATAGATCTAGGTATAGGAGTTTAGAAAGGCAAGTATTCTGCTCTAGGATACATACTGAAAGCCAAGGAGGAAAACCTAAGCCCTTTGTTCTCTTTATACCACTACATTCCTCATCTTTGTTCTTTCAGTAGTCTGCACAAAGTGGAATGGCTAATCTTGTCCATAGTTTTGTTTTATTTTCTCCTCATCATTTAAGAATATCCTCCTTGCTTTCTTTCTTTTCCTCCCTTTTCCAATCAATTATTGTATTACAAGTAAATCTCCACAATGAAGTTAATGATTTGGAGGTATTGTGGTGTTTGATATGGTATAATACGGAGATGATAAACATGGACGTCATCCTCATACTTCAAAATATTCTGCTTGCTCATGTAGACAGAAAACTGCTCTCCTTTCTTAAATTGATCTTTTAAACCGATTTTACTGGAATTTTTTTTTTAGTATCTTTCATTTACATGATCTCAAATATTAAATGTTATCACATTGTCAGCATTTTTCTCCCAGTTAAGTTTTATTTGTCAAAAGTATAGGCATCTTCAATCCCTCAATTCTTTTGTTGTTAAGTAGTCATATTTATCTCAGTCACCACTAGGTGGCACAAATACTTTTTTGGTCAAACCTTTTAAATTTCAGGATATTTTTTACAATTGAAATATTTGTATGGTTATCCAGTGTATAAATAAAAGCACGTGTGTTAATGGTATAAATGTGTTTTTATGAGTTCAGATTTATAGCACTCATTGAAAACAGTGAGTTTTGATGAACAATAGATTTGTTCTGAAAAGCTTGAAATTCAGATTATGGATAATCTTACAAATTTTCACTTCGAGTTTATTTCTAATTTTAGTTTCATAGTATTTTAAAACATTAGATTTACATACATAGCAAATGGTATTAACTTTTTTAACTTTTAATTTTAAAATAATTTTATAAAGATTTATAGAACCGTTCCAAAGGTAGCACAAGAGTCCTGTGTACTCCACTCAGCTTCCTATATGTCAATATTTTACTAAGAAATTAACACTGATACTATCAACTACAGATTTTATTCACATTTCCTCAGTTGTTTGTTCATTGTTTCCTCATTATTAGCCTGAGGTTATGAATTTTGGGGAAGCATACCACAGAAGTTATGTGTCTTTCCCTTTACATTATGTATTTCTCATTGCATTTAGTACTACTAAGTCTATAGTACTTAATTAAGGTGATGTTTACTAGGTTTCTCTACTCTATATAGTTTAATATTTATTCCTTTCCATTGTTAGAAGTGAATCACTAAGTCTATAGAAGTTTATAGCCAGAAGGGAAAAGAATTAATCTTTGCTTTCGGGAGAAACCACCACAGTAGTAATCAGTAAATTTTGGGAGAGATACTTTGAGTTAATAAAAATATCCAGTTTTTAAGTTTCATCTAGTAATTTTAGCATTAATCAATGAATCTTGCCTGAAACAGTTATTACTGTAGTGTTCTATTGGTATGCCTATTTTGCTTATATCACCCCCACACACACACACGGGTTTTTTTTTTTTGTTTTTTTTTTGTCTTTTTTTTTGGAGACAGAATCTTGCTGTCACCCAGGCTGGATTGCAGTGATGCGATCTCGGCTCACTGCAACCTCCACCTCCCTGGTTCAAGTGATTCTCATGCCTCAGCCTCACAAGTAACTGGGATTATACAGCATGTGCAACCACGTCAGGCTAATTTTTGTATTTTTAGTAGAGACAGAGTTGCACTATTTTGGCTAGGCTGGTTTCCAACTCCTGGCCTCAAGTGATCTGTCTGCCTCAGCCTCCCAAAGTGTTGGGATTATAGGCATAAGCCAACATGCCTGCCTTTCACTCCACCTTGATTACTGTGGTAAACCTTGAAATAGCATAGTGTGAACCCTCCAACAATTGTTGTGGCTATTCTAGTTTCTTTGCCATTCCATATAAATTTTAGAATCAGCTTGCTGGGATTTTAAGTGCCTTCAATCTGTAGATCAAGTAAGGGAGAATTTACATCTTAACGACATTGAGTCTTCAAATTTATAAATAGAATATATCTCTAGGTTTTTAAAATTCCTTTCATCATGTACATATTTCGTTAGATTTATACCTAAGTACTTTGAGGTTTTTTGGTGCTATTATGTGGCTATAAACTTTCTAGGAAGTCCAGTATAATGTTGAGTAGGAGTGATAACAGGTGACATCTTTGCCTAGTTTTTGATCTTGGAGCAATTGAGTTTTTCACTATTAAGTAGAATGTTAGCTGTAGCTTTTTATGGATGCCTTCTGTTAAGGAAGCTCCCCTCAAATTCTAGTTTGCTGAGAGTTTTTGTCATGAATGTTGAAGTTTTCCAAATTATTTTTCTTTATCTCTTGGGATGATCAATATAGTTTTTAAAATTTAGTTTGTTAATTTGGTGAATTACATTAACTATTGAGACAGCCTTGCATTCCTTGAATGAACTCTGTAGTTTCATTTTTTTTTTTTTTTTTGAGACGGAGTCTCGCTCTGTAGCCCAGGCTGGAGTGCAGTGGCCGGATTTCAGCTCACTGCAAGCTCCGCCTCCCGGGTTCACGCCATTCTCCGGCCTCAGCCTCCAGAGTAGCTGGGACTACAGGCACCCGCCACCTCGCCCGGCTAGTTTTTTGTATTTCTTTAGTAGAGACGGGGTTTCACCGTGTTCGCCAGGATGGTCTCGATCTCCTGACCTCGTGATCCGCCCGTCTCGGCCTCCCAAAGTGCTGGGATTACAGGCTTGAGCCACTCGCCCGGCCGGACAATTTCTTGTGTGAGTTTGATAGTTTGTGTTTTTTTAAGGAATTTTGTTCTATAGTAGATATAGAAGGGAAAGATCCTGGTAGAGTTTCTGTCCCTCGTGCATAGCTAACATTCCCCTCCCCTAGGTCTCCACCACAATGCGTAGGTTCTTTTTATTTCTGTGAGTGCCAGGTGGAGTTCCTGGAAGAAGAGCCTGTAAGAGGATGTGGTTTCCTCTCCAGGGGTTTCAGCCTCAGGGCTTTCACCTTATTCTGCACTCGACTTTCACCAGTTTGTCAGCTATTTTAGATGAACTACCCCAAGTGGGCTTGTGTCATCTCTTTCTGTAGAGGAGATTTTGGACCAGTTGTTTTCTCTGAAACCTCAGGTCTCCTGAGAGTTTTCAGAAAGTCTTAAATTTGAAGTTAGTCCTGCCCCTTTTTTACTACAGGGTGAAATCAACACTTCCAACTTTCTACATCCTGAGGCGGAAGTCTCTATGTTGTTTAAAATGCCAATTCAGGATATACTCCTTAAGCTAAATTGTGGAAAAATGGTTCCAACCTCTGCCTATAAATGATTTTACTTGGAAGTGTAATGTGATTGTTCATGGTATACTAAGCATTTAGTATATAATATGTTTACTTTTTTTAGCAGTTTGAAAAATAGTTGGTATATGTTTAAAATGTAATTCTGTGGGGAAAAGAAAGAGATCAGACTGTTACTGTGTCTATGTAGAAAGAAGTAGACATAAGAAACTCCATTTTGTTCTGTACTAAGAAATTCTGCCTTGAGATGCTGTTAATCTATAACCCTAGCCCCAACCCTGGGCCCGCAGAGACATGTGCTATGTTGATTCAAGGTTTAATGGATTTAGGGCTATGCAGGATGTGCTTTGTTAAAAAGGTGTTTGAAGGCAATATGCTTGGTAAAAGTCATCGCCATTCTCTAACGTGGAGTACCCAGGGACACAATGCACTGTGGAAGGCCGCAGGGTCCTCTGCCTAGGAAAGCCAGGTATTGTCCAAGGTTTCTCCCCATGTAATAGCCTGAGATATGGCCTCATGGGAAGTGAAAGACCTGACCGTCCCCCAGCCCCACACCCGTAAAGGGTCTGTGCTGAGGAGGAGTAGTGAAAGAGGAAAGCCTCTTTGCAGTTGAGATAAGAGGAAGTCATCTGTCTCCTGTTTGTCCCTGGGAATGGAATGTCTCAGTGTAAAACCCGATCATACGTTCTATTTACTGAGATAGGAGAAAACCGCCTTATGGCTGGAGGTGAGACATACTGGCAGCAATACTGCTCTTTACTGCACTAAAATGTTTGTGTAAAGTCAGACATAAATCTGGCCTACGTGCACATCGAGGCACAGCACCTTTCCTTAAACTTACTTATGACACAGAGATCTTTGCTCACCTATTTTCCTGCTGACCCTCTCCTCACCATTACCCTGTAGTCCTGCCGCATCCCCCTCACCGAGATGATAGAGATAGTGATCAATAAATACTGAGGGAACTCAGAGACCAGTGCCAGCGTGGGTTCTCCATATGCTGAGTGCCAGTCCCCTGGGCCCACTGTTCTTTCTGTATACTTTGTGTTGGTGTCTTACTTCTTTTCGCAGTCTCTCATCCCACCTGATGAGAAACACTCACAGGTGTGTAGGGGCTGGCCCCTTTCATAATTCAAATAAATTAGTGATATAAGAACCCCCAAAGCATTCTGCAAAACTTACTCGTCTGAAGAATGCATAGTTCATTTTGTAGGATTTGAGCTTCTATTGCAAAAAAGGAGAGACAACCAAGCAACTTAAGCCCAACGTCTCCTAAAAAATATT